AGGTTCATGAGAGCTTTGCAATCTAACTATTGATTAATGTTAATTCAGACACAACTTACACAAGCTGCAAGCTGAGTGACAAACTGTAGGTTGAATAATTATTGCTACCTGAAGGGGTTTCATTAAGGTTAGGAGCAGAAGGGCATCTGGATTTAGCACGTGGGCATAATTTAATATGAGATATGAACTTGTATTTTGTTCTTTTGATTATGATTTTGAACGCAAATGGTCATCTCCACAGCGAGTCAATTTGCCCGGTGGCTGATCCTTAATGAACCCCTTGCATCTGTTACAGATTGGTGGTTGTGCAGTGTTTTTTATCGCGTGTCCCCTTTTCTCGCGTGGGGTGATTTTCACGCGCTCGCGTTTCGCTCGCTCTACTATCCCTGAGGAAAAATGGGGGACTACTCGTAGTCTATATCTTTTAACCCAATACGCATTAAATCTCTTGTCCAAAGCTTCCTCCTCGAAATACCTGGAATGGCATTCCAAGGGAGTTCGAAATCGATTTCTGGCAGGTTTCACAAGAGAATGGCTCATCGACACCAATCCCAAACTCTAACAGGAATCTGCAGATCAAGAACGGGTCTGTTACAACAGCCACGCTTCCTGCGTTAAACCGGTTCACGGACTACCAGAGCCAGATCAGCATGTGCACTACGCAAGGGTGTGGTCCGGAAAGCTCTCCTTGGTTTCTTAAAGGTTTGTGGCTTTCTGTTTCATTCTCAAAAGAAGTGAATTTCTTTGGTAGTTCGGGCGCACTTAAGCCATTTCGTTAAGCTTGCATGTTCTTTAAGTGTAGTAGTCCTAATCTTGTTGACCTTGAGGTCTCCATAGGTGGCCAGAAGGTTTTAGAGTATGGTGCTGTTGGTTAGGGAATTAAGTGTTTGACAACCCTCTATGTTTAAACAAAATATTTAGGGGAACAGAGTATGCCATAGCAACACAAAATAAATACCTGATTGTAAAAGCGTTGTTGATCAAGGATTTATGTCTATGCGTTTACTTGCAAAGCAAATTCAAAGTTTTTTTGATCAAAAGTTTACATTTTCTCGAGCTGTTCGTGCTGATGCAAATCCCAGAGTACTTTGTTTAAGGCATGTCGTTGTCTTTTATGCGGTCTTCGAAGAAAGCTTTTAGGTCCTTTCTTATGATTGTTAGTGTGCGTTAGCTATATGGCTACGCTCTTTTACTGACGCATTGAAAAGAGAAACTGATCACCAATAACAATATTCCTAGATGTTAATAACTTTCGCACAGTTAGTTCAGTTGCGTGAGAGTAAGTGCAAACCCCGACCGCACCTCGGCTCTTATCAGAGTCTTCTTGAAAAATGGTAAGATCAATCATGCTGGCTGTGAATAGGACGGCTCTCTCAAATGATAACTTTACTGGAGGGTGACGTTAAGGCCGGGTTTACACCAGATATTTTTGCCGAGTTTTATGTTTTCTGATGTTTTTAATATTGAGAGTATTCATATTACTCTAAATGGCCTAAATGGATTGGAATAAATCTTGAAACTTTGCAGGCATTTACACAAATCAGTGAATCCGACATCATTTATTCAAATACAGTGCCCGAATTCATCCTTCCGTATCAATTACTCACTGCAGAAAACTATGCGGGAAGGGGTACAAGCTTTCGGTGCAATGATTTCTGGAATCGCTAGGGTGGACAAGCGTTACTTATGATTGGTCTATGTTATTCAAGGCAACCATTGAATAATCACAATTAACGTCTTCCCAGACAATATCAGAAATAGTTGCGCCGAAAGCTTGTAACCATTCCGAAGGGGACGCTAGAGAACACACACAAACTGTTCGAAACATTTAGGACCATAGAACCCGGTGGTATGGCCTATCTTTTCATGGGGCGTTTAGAGAAGGAACTGTTTCTGGGGGGAGGGGGGTGCCAATTATTGGCCCAAGCTTTTCTGGTGTACCTGCCATATCTTGCAAAGCTAATAAAAAACAATAAGCATTGCTCAGCTGGGAAAGGGTTTATCTGCCTAGCGGAAGGTTGTGAGTTTGTAATGGGACATTCCGTGGCTGTTATATAGCGTAGCATTAGGTCGAAAGACTGGGCTTGCACCAAAACTCAAACTAGTCACCGGGGCTCTGACTAAAGCAAATGGAAGTGTATTTATGGTTCTAGGAGAAACAAAAGTTAGATTTCGCGTAGGGAATATCGATTGTTTTTGACCAGATATGATTGCGCTTGGCCTGTCCCATGACTGCATTTCAACTTCACTTTGACACTGGAACTTTTGTAGAAGGAGATAAACTTCCAGGTTACCCCAAGTGTTTGTAGAATTGTCCGGTGCGATGGCATACTAGTGGAACCCAGAACTGAACAAGTAATAGGGGACGAATTAGAGATGGTTTTGAGCATAAAACTGGTACTCCTGGGATACTTGCTAGGAAACACGACGGGCCATACCGTGTGTACATTGTCTACCTCAAACTTAACCAGTTGACAAAGAAGGATGACATAACACTACCTCGGATAAATGACGTGTTGGAGGCCTTGGGTGAGGATGAGTGGTTTTCTCTAGCTTGAATTTGGCCTCCAGGCACTGGTAGTTGCAGGTGGTGGAAGAGGATAGGCCTAAGACTGCCTACTCAGCTCATCAGGGACAATTCCACTGGAGAGTAATGCCCTGTGGATTGACAAACGGACCAGCTAACTTCACTCGATTAATGAATTTAGTGCTCAGTGGCCTTACCTGGACACACTGTCTGGTGTATTTAAATGATATCATCATCTGTGCTTTCACCTCTCAATATCACATCCGCCGCCTTCGGTTATTTTTTGATCTTGTAAGGACTACTGATTTGAACTGAAGCCTACTAAATGTCACTTCCTTTGAGCCGAAGTTGCTTTTTTCAGACGTGTCGTGGCTTCTTACGGAATGAAGATTGAAACTGAGAAAGTCAAAGCCGTCAAAACATGGTCAGTACCACTAAATGTGAAAGGGCTTCCTTACTTTTGGTCGTCATCCTTGGATTTGCCACTTTTGCGGAGCCCCTCTACAAAAAGTGGAGGAATAAAGTACCATTTTGATGGCAACTAGAACGAGCTGTGTTTGGACAAGGAGTGGATAAAGAAAATGAGACCAAAATTGCTGAAGAAGGCTAGAGGATTGCAGGGAATTTGGAACTTCTTTGAGGGAGGAGATATCGTAATGGGATATTTCGTGCCGGATATATACATATGTAGCGTTAGACTAGGTAGGGAAAAAAAGGGTTTGTGAAAGGGAATCGATCTTGGTGCTTGGTCTTTGTTTAATCTTGTGGTGTCGGCGACCCAATAAAAAGAGTCTGGACCTTTCCTGCGTGACGTTTATTACAAGTTCATTCCCCGAGTGGACAACCTACACGCGTCTTTAGATCCTTTTTAAATAAATAAGTGAATAAAATAACGATTTAGAGGTAGCTCATTCACAAAGTGGTTCTTTGTCTAGCATTTATTGTCGAATCGGGATTTGGAAATGTCGGAGGGGAAAACCAAAATACCTTGAGAGAAAACTCGCAGCAAAAAAGTGGGCCAACAGCAAACTCAACGACGTATGTCGTGGACGCCGGGATTTGAACTGGGGCCACATTGTTGGGACGCAAGTGCTCTCATCACTGCTCCACCCTTACTCCCTATCGCAACTTTTAGAAATTCCAGGAGGTATTGTGCATCATGTTAAAAAAGGCGTGGCAAAAAAATCTCTGATGATATATTTCGTGTGTTGTTCCATTTCAGGCGATACAAAGCAGCCTAACGCATTGTCATATCGAGAAAGCAACAACAATTTTACTTGGATTATCGTTGGAACAATATTTGGCATCTTGGTTGTAACAACAGTTATAGCTATATGGCTTTGGACAAGAAGAAGGAAGAAATTATTTGCTAAGTAATTTAGTGTTGATATTTTGTGTTTTTTCATGAGTTTGTTTTGCTTTCTTCCCCTTTTAAGCTCTTCATTTTTTTTAAAAGAAAAATCGGGAAAGTTTTCGTATTTCCCATACTCCAGTCAATCAATCAATCGTTTATTTGCCCACGTATCATCTAGTGAGCTAATAAGAACTCGACTTTTGGTGTATATACTCTTTTTGGATATTTGCATATTATACTCCCAAAATACTTTCCCTGGCCTTGAAAAACCTTTGTTCAGTTTTTTCTTCGCGATATATTTTAATTTTAATGTATACAACTGCGTTATTGCCCTTAAGGTTTTTTTTAAAATACTGTTAGTGTGCTTTTATAATAAATAATTTTTTAACTTATTTTAGGCAAAGAAGAGAAAATCGGCGACGACTAGAAGACATTTTGCAAGTGGTATGGAATAAATACTTTAAAATAAACTTCCTTTCACATGCAACTAGGTGAAAGGAAATTGCTAAACGGCTTCTGCACTTAAGGAGGCTTACCTACATAAGTCCAGTGTTGTTGTTATTATTAATGCTGTTATTGTTGTTCATTTGACGTCAATCGGTCTTTAACAAAAATTACGGGCGTATGTTCTTGCAAAAGAAAAGAGAGAGCACGAAATACCGCGGATTTATGTACTCTCTTTTTATCGGTATTAATTTTTATACTTTGTAAAGAGAAAATCTGTTTGTCAAGGTTGTTCGGGACAATAGAGTCATTTTTTCATTATAATACTTGTCAATGGGAGATGACTGGTTCTTGTGCTCATCATTCTTGTCTCGCGAATTTGACAGTATAAACTCACAGAGAGACCTGCTCTGCACCATATCTCTGGGATATATCCTCACAGCATTACCCTTCGTGTCTTCTTACCCTAAGATATACTTGATTTATGTCTTTTCTTTGCGGCATGGTAACTGTCACTGGCCATCCTTTTTTTAGGACCCACCGTCAGCCTACGACGAGATACACGACTCACCCATGAGCACGCAGAATTCCTACGCTGAAATTCGGCGTGAAGATCCTCCACAACATCTTCTTTTGATAACCGCCGATTTGACATCGGAACTTAGTGGTGATTGATTTAAATTAATTAGGACTTTTTTTCCTGGCGAATATATTCTCCACGTCTCCAAGGTCTCTCTTTTTCTTGTGCCCTGGAGTAAGATTGGAAGAAACCTGTGAACAGGCTCCCGGGGAAGGAAGTGTGCCACGAAGGGAAGCTAGCGGCGCGGGAGTCGGTCTACTTGATTCGATTTACGCCGATCCATGATACCCGAATCTGGTTTCACTTCAAGCGACGCCTTTTTATTTTTTACTACCGAGGACAGGAAATTTCCGCGGTGAGTTCTTCATGCTCACTCAACCTTATGGATAACGATCCCTTTTCCACTCTCCCCAATTCCATCCCCTTTTCGAATCCTTCTTCTCCCTTTTTCCTTTTTCTCCTCTCCCCTAGCCTCTCAAACGGTAAGTATAGGAGGGCGGAATGACGACACCAAAGCTTTGTCGGTAGCCTCTCGTTTTCTTTCCCCTTAATTCCCTCCTCCCTGTCTGCAAGCGCTTTCTGGTGTTCCCCTCGCTTCATTCCCCAACAGTGATCCTGTTCACAGGCTTAACTGGAAGTTGAAGAAGAAATACCCCGGGAGACAAGTTGAATTTTCTTTAACTGTAATATATTACACTTTTGTATTTATCGCAAATATTGCAGAGGTTCGTTGAAAATGATATCAGATTTAATTATTATTTTACAAACTTTATTGGTTCAAAGTAGAATCCTATTTATTGCATCCTCTTTTTTGCATTCGAATATTATTAGATTATTTATAATACTTCAGTAGGACTAATACAAGCTGATGCAGACTTAGTAGATATTTATACTGACTGCGCAACAGTTCAAGATGGTACTTTGGGATGTAACCTTATTATTATATGCATTAAGCNCCGATCCATGATACCCGAATCTGGTTTCACTTCAAGCGACGGCTTTTTATTTTTTACTACTGAGGACAGGAAATTTCCGCGGTGAGTTCTTCATGCTCACACAACCTTATGGATAACGATCCCTTTTCCACTCTCCCCAATTCCATCCCCTTTTCGAATCCTTCTTCTCCCTTTTTCCTTTTTCTCCTCTCCCCTAGCCTCTCAAACGGTAAGTATAGGAGGGCGGAATGACGACACCAAAGCTTTGTCGGTAGCCTCTCGTTTTCTTTCCCCTTAATTCCCTCCTCCCTGTCTGCAAGCGCTTTCTGGTGTTCCCCTCGCTTCATTCCCCAACAGTGATCCTGTTCACAGGCTTAACTGGAAGTTGAAGAAGAAATACCCCGGGAGACAAGTTGAATTTTCTTTAACTGTAATATATTACACTTTTGTATTTATCGCAAATATTGCAGTGGTTCGTTGAAAATGATATCAGATTAATTATTATTTTACAAACTTTATTGGTTCAAAGTAGAATCCTATTTATTGCATCCTCTTTTTTGCATTCGAATGTTATTAGATTATTTATAATACTTCAGTAGGACTAATACAAGCTGATGCAGACTTAGTAGATATTTATACTGACTGCGCAACAGTTCAAGATGGTACTTTGGGATGTAACCTTATTATTATATGCATTAAGCACAATAGACCTCTTTAACTTGTATGGTTTGTTTTCCCAGTGAAGGTGTCATGGGAATTTGCCGTTGTCTTTTAATAAATTATGCGTACACAGTCACGTTAATAAGAAGAAATTTGAAGGAGACAGTTTTCTTGAGTATTATCATTATCACATGACCTACACTGGGAAAACAAAACATACAAGCTAAAAGGTCAGATGTATAAGTATATTTAATTCCTGTAAACTCGCTTGTTAGATGGTAAACAAATCCCGTCGATGATCATGCGTTTGAAAACGCTTGTGATTTGTGAGTTTTGGCCCAGCTCTCAAGAAAGCGGAGGCCTAGCCTTTTTGAAGTGAGCGGCCAGCCAAACTTTTTTTAACTTTCTCGACTTGACCAAGCCCTTTATGGTGTACGAATCGTCACATCACCTTTAACCCTTTAAGCCCTAGTATCCACATACAAATTCTCCAAACTGATCTCCATACATTTCCTTTAAGAATTAGTTGAGAGAATTTAATAAAACATCAAGGCATTTTCTCTTTCGTGATCATTTTTTTTATATTCTCACAACCTTATCTCTTGACAATGTATGGACATTGTTAGGAGAAAATTGCTGTTGGTCACTATTCGGACTTAAAGGGTTAAACTTGGTAAGTTTACAACTTTTTAGTCGCTCTTTCCAGCGGTTTTGATGGTTTTTAATTATTAGCTTACTGGTCTTTGTCAAAACTTGAAAAAATCGTGGGAAACGAAACGATTCGAAAAATCCTTTCCGGACGAGGAGAATTTGATGCGTTTGTTCACTAACAAGGTTTTCGAAAACATCTTAGGTTCTACAGGGCTAAAGCTGGTATCCTTCGCACTGTATAGTAATTAAATATCAAAGCACTAATGGTATATCTTACATTCCTTTTTGAACTAAACGATTTTACATACAACTGGGTTCATGAATCTTTCTAGTGAGCGTACTTTTGTTAGAGAAATAGTTTTATAGAGCTTACCCTGCACGCTGCTTGCATAATAAAGTTCGTTTTACACAAAAATGTAACCATTATCGTGTCTCTCTTATATGACCATACCATAGACCTTTTCCATATGCCGCTTCACTGAGGTTGAGGCCTGGTGGATAATTTCATACAGTTATTTTATTCTCTCAAGCCAAGCTTCGACTTGGTGCTTTTGTCCAAAAGAAGCTGCCTCCAAACCAAATTGCGATGTTGCCCATAAAACTGATCTTCGGTCGACCTAAGTTAACATTAACTTTTGATAACAAACATCAGTAATCATGATGACGGTGGTGATGATAATGATGATGATGATGATGATGATGATAATCAGAGTAATCAGATAATAATAAATAATCAGAGATTGACCAAAGTTGTGATAAGAATGGATCGGGTTGTCATCTTCACTTAAGATACATAAAGGAAGTCTTATAACTTAAATTATCATATAGCAAGGGATTCTCAAGGATGAAGGAAGCACTCTGATTGGCTGTTTTACGGTCAGGATTTTACAGTACCGTTTGTTACCGCGCAAACGCTCCTTTCCCATATTTTTAGCGACTGAAAAATGAGGAACAACTATTTTTCAAATTTCTTCGCCGACCTGACCTTGCTCAGAAAATGATAACAAAAATGTCTGCGTCAAGAGTGATTTGTTTCAGTTATCTTGGTTGACTGACCAATCATAACTCTAAATGGCGCTAAATGAAGGTTACACTTTCCCGAATGATTTTCTGAAAACCTTTTTTAAAAAGAATGTTATAAAAATGTGGAGGATCGAGGCAGTCCGATCTCTTGCGTTTAAGTAATAAATATTTTTAATAAGGAATATGACTAAATTTAGTGTAATCAATGTTACTTTATAAACTAAGACTTCCGCTTGAAATATTGGAAATCAAATTCAAGTTTAGCCTTTTCGTATGTCTGGGAGGAAGTATTTTATTACTTTAATTAACCCCAGGAAACTTGGAAAGATTGAGGAAGTTTTGTTATACTTTTCATAAACCATAAGACTCAAATTGATTCGTAAGCCAAATCCTGAATGAAACACTCGTAGATTTACCACAGACAACGACGTTTGAGTCTTAATGTTTATTTCCACGACCAGTAATGAAAAAAATACTCGTCAGTAGGAAATATCCAAATCAACACTATTAACATAAACCTGTCTAAATTTATAAATGCCTTGGCTTCGGCGTTTGGCTGAGGAAATGTGTTCATGCTAATAAGGAGAAATATAACTCCAGACGTTTAAGGATCTTGATTCACATGTCGGGTCTTTTCTTGATTTTAAATAAGAAGAATGAATATAGAGCTGTGATGGTAAATCGTGAGTAAATGTGAATTGATAAATGATTCTTTACGCGTACGACACCTTGAATTTAGGTTAGGTGGCAATATAGCAAACGTGTTGTGTTAAATCCTCCATACTACTAGGTTTTGTTGTCAGCCATTTTTGAGAGTGCCATTATTTTCTCCTTCATGCCATTTGACTCGACAGAGGGCCAGAGTTAGGGCCTCGCTTGCTGTGGATTTGCAAAACACCCTGGCCAGTGAGCGCCAATCGATAAAATGCACATGGAATTGTCGAATCAGTTCGTCTTTATTTCCTGAGTGAATTTTGCCGTTTTGATCGGCTTTTTACTCTTGGGGATTTTTTCTAGGAAACTAAATAACCTTTTTTTCTTTCAATTTCCGCTCTCAAAAGGTGACGTAACACGGGACGATTCGCAACGATGATTTTGGCTCAACACAGCGTTGCAATGTTGGAACAATGTTACAAGCATTCAAAACATTGTTGCAACAATGTTTCAACCCTGTGTTGTGCTAAAATAGTTGCTGCGAATCGTCTCGTGTTAACCCTTACTCTCTCAGGGTGAATGATGGAGTCTTTTAAGGTGGCTCGAGCTCTAACTTTCAAATTTCAAAGAAACTGTGCAACGCATCGTGTGAAAGTCAAGGAGAAAAACAGACGTTTCGAGGGTGCTCTTTTCAGACTTCTTTAGTCGTTTAAAAGCAACCAACTTTTGAGTCTGGGACTAAGTTCTTTAGTGTGACCATTCAAATCAAATTTCTTTGGCACTACGTTCACCTAGTACTATTTTGTTATTCAGAAGGTTACAAAATGAACTCTGGATTGTTTTTCTAATTTTGACTTTGACTCTTCTGGGTATGAAAGGTTTTAATTAATAAGATGGTTTGGCGCCGTCACTGCGACTAAATTACGTTCCCTCCCATCGCCATCTCACAATTATCGCAGCGTAACAGGCTCTTACTAATTTTACTTTCATTTTTATTGACCGATCAACCGGAAGCGTTAAACATTAAAACAACTACATTAGACTCTTCATAAATTTTTTATGTGAAAAACGCCCAGGAAATTTTTAAGAAACCCCATCGATAAAACGTATTTTGACGGTTGTAAGACGATGCTGGAAAGTTTTCTGACGAAATCGACAACGATGGTAAATTA